GCAGGGTGGTTTTGTTGATTTGGGTTTGTGAGGAGCTTGGGTAGGGGTATCGAGGTGTTGACAGCTATTAATGCATTGGTTGATGGTAGAATTTCTGTATTTTTTATATTTGTTTTTGGAGATCCGTTGTATGATTTGGTTGAGCGCGGTGTCTTTTGCCTGACGAATAGTGTGGATTGATTTTGTTTTAGGTATTCGGTTCTATTTTCTATTGATTGAATGTTTGCTTCAAGGTAAAGGTTACTTGTTGGCGTAGAACAAAAGGCTCCTAATGATGTTTATAGTGCGGGATTTAGAAGGGTTTTAATTGGTATTAGAATAGATTTATTTGACTTGCCGTATATAGGAAGGGCGTAATCTATCTCGGAGATGCATAGGCTTTTTACGATTTCGATTAGGGTATGTGGGTGGCTATTGTATTTTCAGCTGGATAAGCATTGTATTATGTTTAGGGATTAGTCTATTGATTTATCTAGTTTCCTAACGTGGGGCTTAAATTTATAGTTGGTTATAATTGGACTACAGGCCCATGCCAAGAGTTGGTTAATAATTGTGTGTAGCCCTATTTTTTCAAAGGCTTTGGCAAAGTCTATGGATGGCTCTGTTGATAAGAGCGTCTGCGTAAAGCAGACAGTCCATAACAGATCTCCCTTTTTAAGCCCAAGTTGTAGGCTATTTAGTAGTTTGTTGAATGTTGCAATTATTTTCATTTCCGTTTCGATATTATTTTATATAATGTTTTGTCAGTACCTGATTTGTGTATTGGGATAATTATGCTAGTTTTGTAGGTCTGAGGAATGTGTGATTTTAGGATGATATTGAAGAAATTTATGATTCTCATTTTGACCGGGTTTGCGACGTGTTGGATCATTGGATAATTTATTTTATCCTGTCCTGGAGTTTGACCTTTTAGGCTGGTCAGGGCTGCTGAGAATTCTAAAAAGTTTATATCTTGTTCCATAAATGATGCTGTTCTGTATGTGGTGATTCCTCGGTTAAGTGTAATTAATTTTTGTTTTTCTTCGATAAAGCTTGTGGAAAATTGTGCGTCCTCTGGAAGAAGAGACCAATATTTTCCAAATGTGTCGGCAATTTGTTCAAGGCAAGTAAGGAGATTGTTACTATTGTTGTCCTTAATAGCATGGATATTTGCGGCTTTGTGGAGGCCACAGAGCTTTTTTATTTTATTCCAAATTGTTTACGGCTTAAATTGTGGCGTGACTTTGGATGTGAGCACAAAGAGGCTGTCTGCGTTGCTTGACCTCATTTATCTTCTGTATTGGGCGTTCAGTTTTTTGTAGTTAATTAGATAATTTGTCGACATATCTCTATTGAACGTTCTCCAGGCCTTGTTTTTTTCCATTTTTAAATTTTCCAGTTTCTTATTATTGGAATAGGGAGCTTAGTTATGAGTCTCGGAGCGACGAGGCCGCGGCCGCGGATCTTGGGGCGGCCCAAAACGTTGGCAAAACTTTTTCCAACCTGACCACGTGCCCGATGCAAGTGCCCTTGCCATAAAAAATTAAAAAGGTGCTGCATTACTACCATACCGGAGCATAATCGAAATGCTGTGACGGGCCTCGATATATGCCAAAACGACAAGGAGCAGGCCGAAAGGAATGATTTGCTGCGTGTCGAGCTCCGCTGTTCAACAATGACGTATGAGGATGCATTGGAACATTGAACTTGCTCGATGTGGACATTGTGGTGCGATCTTGGAGGTTTTGTATGGGGAATACTCTTGTATGCACTCTGAAGAATAATTATACCCGTTACTCGTAGAGTAAAAGAGTATACTAGATTCGTCGGACAGTATGTAACAGGCAGAAGGAAGCGTTTCCGACCCCATATATATATATTCTTGATCAGGATTACTAGCCGAGTCGATCTAGCCATGTCCGTCTGTCCGTATGAACGCTACAATACTGGGATTAGGCATGCAGACTCTAGATATTTCTGCGCAGCGCAAGTTTGTTTCAGTTCCTACAGTTTTGATGCTAGAATAAAAATTGTAACTTAAATGTATTGTTCTCATCAATACCTATCGATTGACCCAAAAAAAGAACAAAATTCAAAAAATCGTAAGTATGAACGCGGATATCGGAAACTATTAAAGATAGAGAATTGGTATTTCAGATTTAGATTCCGTATCCTTGTACTCAGCGCAAGTTTGTTCCGCGAATATGCCACGCCCACAAACCGTCCAAGTCTGTGGCACCCACGGTTAATACCTATCGATTCATCCAAAAAAAGTTTGCCACGCCCACTCTAACACCCATAACGCTTAAATCTGTCTACCGCTCACATAACCATATATTGAGATCGCGGGTAGATGGCACATTTCAATCTCGCCTTACTGCTTGCATATCTCCATTTCCCTTTGGTCCCTTTAGCTGAGTAACGGGTATATGATAGTCGGGGTACTCGACTATAGCTTTCTTCCTTGTTTTGTTTATATTATTTGTTTCCTGGTTTATATTTGTTGACGTTGGGATGGAATTACTAAGGATGTATGTGAGTGTTTCAAATTTGTTCCAATCTGCGTTTTTTGTCACAAAACGTTGAATAAAGTTGTCTTTCTTTCTTCTGCTGCTTAGAAACATGTCGATAGGAATTTGGAAGTGGTCACTCCCTTTGAGAGAGTCGCTGATCTTGAAGTCACAATAAATTCTCAGGTCGGGTGAACAAAATGCTAAGTCGATGTGTGTGAGCGATCTATGGGTCAAGAAGTGAGTTGGTTGGCCGTTGTTTAGAATGATGAAGCCCTTGTCCAGGATGAATTTTCCTAGTATTCGTCCGCTACGGTTAATTGTGGGAGAACCCCAGTATTTATTCCAGCTACTGAAGTCTCCTGTAAATAGTGTTGGAGAGTTTCCTATAGGGACTATTGATTCCAGGTCTGCTTCAGTACATTTTCTGTTCGGTGGGTTGTAGGAAAAAACAATATTGAGTTTTTTGAAAGATTTAATTTCCAGTGCTATGGTATCGATTGAGTTTTGAAGTGGAATTATTGTGTGTTCTATTGACTTGTGTATCAGGATTGCTTCACCGCCATCTGGACTGTGCGAAGATGTGTAGTGAAATTCGAAGTTAACTGCGATAGGTAATTTTTGGTAATAAGTGCTGTGGGTCTCCTGGAGGGAAACGATTTTGGTGCTTTTAATAGAACTAGCCGTTCGTTGTAGTTGTTAAGGTAACCATTAATATTCCGTTGAAGGAGCTTTAGAGTCATTTTAGTTTTGGCTTGGTGTTGGATTTGTATCTGAAGAGGAAATGGATTTTCAACTTCATCAACGTTTTGAGATCTAAGGTTCTCTAATATAACTTTCTCGTCGATTCCTCGTATATCGCTTGATTAAATATCTCCTTTAGTGCAGTTAAGGCTTCGGTGCTCTATTATTTGAATTGGGATAGTGATGTGGGGAGTACTTGAAGGTAAACTAGTGAAATTTTTTCATTTTTCAGCTTGTAAAAAGTTTTTGGTTAGAATTATAAGTTTTCCGTCTTTGGTTTTTTTACAACTTGTGATTTCTCCTTGGATTGTATTTTCTATTGTTTTTTTAATGATGAATGGTGAGACTTCAGCTAGAGACTTGGAGTCGTCATCTGTTCTAATCGCTACTAGGAAAATTCCGTCTGGAAGGTGCTTTCTCCAGATGTCTGGAGGGTCAGGCATGATGAGGTCAACAAACTTTAAGACTTCTTTAAAGCTGCCAAAATTGTAAGTTGCACTGATCCGAAAGTAGATAAGCGGAGGCTATCTTTGCGTTTGTTTTGATTATGGGTTGGGATGCTGCAGTACTTTAACGATACGCGGAAGAACACGTCCGATGGCTTAGGCTGTCGAGAGTGAACTGTATAGAAATTAATGTTAATATATTGCTTTGCAAATCAGACCTTAGCATAGCCTGCTCAGTAACAACTAAGGCCAAGCTTCTAAGTGACAAACTTTGATGAGTAAGCGTGGTGGAAGTAAAGTATGCGACACATTTTCAAAAATTGTGGAACGTAATGACATTGAAATTAATAATTTCGTTGCCTGCAAAAAGTGTACATTTATGAAAAGTACTTTAAATATGGTAAAACATAAATGTTACATTATGGCTAATGCTCGAGGGCGTTCTGTTCAGTGCAGCCATTAAAAAAAGGGCAGATGTGAAAGATTTTAAAACGCTATCCTACAAAAAAAAGGTCTGTCCTGAAAATGGCTAAGCATGACAGCTCTGATTCTATCAGCATAATTTAAGGGTCGGGAAAAAAAAAGTTATTCCAATTTTTGATAAAAGTTGGTGCCATCCCTGGCCAGAAATGTTTGCTTACGGTATAGCGTCGGATAATCGGACTGACGAATTTTGTATGTTGTCTTATTTGTGCCTCACTATTCACTACATCAAGAGCGGAGCTCTTAAAACAAGTTGCTGGCAGATAAGTTAATGGAGGGAGTTTTCTGTACTGGTAAGGAACTCAAAGTTAAGAAAGTATTTTTTTTAATTGCATCCTTATCCTGCTTCAGTCACTTCGTACATTGCATTGCAATATCAATTACAATTTCAATTACAGTGCAATTAGAATTTAAATTAAAAGAAGAAAGAACGCTATAGTCGACGACCTCGACGAGCGGATTCCCGTTATTCAGCTAAGGGGAGTGCGAGGAAGATGGAGATATGCAAGCAGCAGAGCGACTGTTTCCAAGATTGCACGCCAAGAAAATGCGCCACCTACCCACTATGTACATTACATTACAATATCAATTAGAATTTAAATTACATTATAATAACAATTTAAATTACAGTGCAATTAGAATTGAAGTAAAACAAAAAAGGACGCTATAGTCGACAACTTCGACTATCTGACACCCGTTACTCAGCTAAGTGCGTGGAAGATGGACATACATTTGCGAGCAACAAAGTGACTATTCCCAAACTGAACGCCCCGAAACTGTTCTACCTAGCGTCGATTCTTTAATTTTGCTTAGTAACCTTTTAAATTTCTAACATGAAGATAGATATTGATAATCAAAACTAAATCGCAATTATAATATTACAAAATTTTTAAAAATGTGAACGCTAGACAGGTTCTGGAGTGAGCGCGGCACCCTGCTGAAACAAACTTGAGCTGCGTAAGAACCTCAAGCTTAAAAAAAATAAAAATAATATTAAATGAATACAATAATATAAGACTAATGAAATTAATTTCGCCTAACAGACTGCTGATCTACACCCAGCTGATCCCTCTTCAGCAGCTGCAAAAGATTTTCCTATGTCCTCACAGATGTTACATCAACGTGATTGGTGTCGCAATGTTGGTTTCGAACACACTGCATAATTAATATATCAAACACTAAGCGCATAAGCACCTTCAGGCTCTTCAAATCTCCTGAACCTGGCACCTTCATTCCGGTACAACTACCGGACACTGAACGCAGTACTTCCTTGGCTGAAGTTCATCTTTCACAGGTGCCTAGCACTAAACGACATACCCTCTATATGGGTGGAAATTAAGGTAACTTCATACTTAAATACATACATTTTTACCAGTAGAGTAATGTACTCCACTATGGGCTATGCAGGATCAGGAGTGTTAGTAGAGAAATCCATGAAGACGCTTGACTTACCTCTTATATAAAACAGCTGGTCACTTTATCATACTTATTAAAATATCCCACTAAAGGAACGTATGTACCACCCTCTGTCAAATTCGACAAAATGTACAAAGTTGTCAGACCATCCCGTACAGAGTGGGATAACCTCACACATCAAATCGATAACGACGTCAATATACATACAGTTGGCTTCAAGCTTCTGGTCTACTCTCCTGAACTAAATATAAAAATCTCTTTTAGTCTACTAGACCTTTGGGGGTTTGTACAGGCGGGAGTCATGGCATCGGCGGGAGGAAGCGTTTTCCACCCTATTACTCGTAAGCTGGCCATGCATTTGTGTCATTCGCACTCGAGGATTCAGATCCGAGACCGCGACCTGTTCTCAAGTTTTAAAAGTGTATTGCATTAATTGTGTATTAAGAATAAAGGTTTATCACCCAAGTTTTGAAATAAGAAAAAGTTCCAACAATTTTTTAATGAAAAATAAGTTAAATATAAACGGAGCTCGCGCGGCCAACAACTCAACATTTTTAGTGGGAAAATAAAAAAATCCACCAAGCGACACAACAAAGTGACAGTGATCGTTAAAAACAATTAGATGGAGATTAATAAATGAAATAATCCATTTAAAGGTGAATTTAAAATAAAGGTGGACCAAAATCTTCAACCAAAAAATACAAGAACACAAAATAAGTAAAACGACGCACAAAATAAATAAATTTAAAGTAACGCAAAAACTTATTTAAAACCAGAAACGCATTAAACTAAAACATTTAATCAAACAAGAACTAACAACAACAACAACAAAAACACAACACGCTGAAACAAGAAAAACTGAAGAAGGAAGGAAGGGCATTCTATCGCCGTTAATCTTCACTGAATCTTCACAACCCACAACCTCACAGAAGGAAGACCCAATCGGGACAGTCTCGTGAGGAATTAATTTACAATAATAAAAAATTAAACAACGACATTGATAAAGATAGATTCGCGACTTAAAAAATTTTATCAAGAAACAATCTGGAACATTTGATAAAAAGCTTTGGTGAATTAAATTTAACAATGGCAGGTAGTATAGCCACAGCCGGCGGCTTAACAGTGGAATTAAAAAATAGATTGATAAATGTTCATTTCAATAAAGTGAGCAGGAAAATATAAGGTTTACAAGGAAGGTTAGCCACAGATGCAAACACTGTGGAGGCTTATAAAATAAAACTATAAAATGCGATACAACACTTGAAGTGGTAAAAACTTTACCAAAATTCACAGGGGAACCAACACAAAATGTAGGTTTGAGGGAAGCCGCAGAAACTGTAATGAGTCTTTAGAAAATTCAAAGTGAACAACATTTTATCGCCTTATATTTTACGAAATAAAATTACGGGAGCTGCACATGATGTTCTTACCAATTATGGCACCATTTTAAAACTTTCGAGCAACCTTATCAAGATTGGACTTTATATATAGCGACAAACGACCAATACATATTCTCGAGTCAGAACTAAGTATCCTCAGGCAGGGACGATTGACAGTTACTGATTACTATAATAAAGTCAATAAAAAAACAAGGAAGAACGCTATAGTCGAGTACCTCGACTATCAGATACCCGTTACTCAAAGGGAAATGGAGATATGCAAGCAGCAAAGCGAAATTAAAATGCGCCACCTACCGGCGGTAGACAGATTTAAGCGTTATGGGCGTTAGAGTGGGCGTGGCAGAATTATTTTTGGATCAATCGATAGGTATTGACGACACCAATACATTTCAGTTAAAATTTTTTATCTAGCATGCAAATTGTGGGCGTCACAGGTTTTCGCGGTTTGTGGGCGTTTAAGTGGGCGTGGCAAACTTTTTTTTAGGTCAATCGATAGGCTTTGATGAGAACAATACATTTCAAATTTCAAATTTTCTATCTAGCATCAAAACTGTAGGAGTTACAGTTTTGGGCGGTTTGTGGGCGTTAGAGTGGGCGTGGCAGTCTACTGAAACAAACTTGCGCTGCGTAAAAAGCTCAGGAATCTGTACGCCAAATCTCAATAGCCTAGCTCTCATAGTTTCCGAGATCTCAGCGTTCATCCGGACGGACAGACAGACGGACAGACGGACAGACGGACAGATGGTCAGACGGACAGACGGACAGACGGACATGGCTAGATCGACTCGGCTAGTGATCCTGATCAAGAATATATATACTTTATGGGGTCGGAAACGCTTCCTTCTGCCTGTTACATACTTTCCGACGAATCTAGTATACCCTTTTACTCTACGAGTAACGGGTATAATGACTTTATTAATAAACAAAACCATAATGATATACGGAAAAGCCAGCGTAATTACCAAGGAAACAAACAAAACAATAAGGAGCAATGCTCTACGAAAATTTATATCCGGGCTAAATGAATTTATCTCAGAAACTCTTTTCTCATAAAATCCACCAGATTTGCCCAATGCTTTGGCAAAGGCCCAAGAATTAGAATCAAACAATTTTTGTGCTCAATATGCAAAGAGGTTTAATGGATTTAAAAATGAAAACAATTATCAGGGAAACAACTTACGATTTGATCAAAAACGTCAGAATAATAATACTAATAAAATAATTAATAATAAAATAAATAATTTGAGTAATAACCAGAATTATAATTGGCCATAAAAGGGAAATTTTCGGCAAAATAATAATCAAAATAACAGTCGAAAGCAACAAGCCGTCGAGCCAATGGATGTTGATCCATCGATTCAACTCCAGAATAAACCTAATGACAATCGGCAGCCGAATAATAATTGGCAGGCAAATAATAATCGAGGTAGATATAATAATATTTATTATCAAAATAATAATCGTTCAACACAGTAAATCAGCCAGCTTATAAAGTAACCATATTAAATAATATCAATGAAGATCAATTTTTAGACCAGCCCCTACAGGGGAATGCCTTATTTAAATAGGATAGACAGAAAAACAAAGAAGCAGTTAAAGATCTTAATAAATACAGGAGCCACTGCTTTTTATATAAAAAAGGCAAGTTTGGAAAACAAAAATGTGTTATCAATATACAAAAAGGTAACTACAGTTCATGGGTATTCAATTATTAGGTATTACCATATTGTAACTATATTTAAAACAAGACAATTATTTTATGAAATCAAAGGGTTAGAATCTGATCTTCTAATTGGATTCAATTTATTAAGAACAAGGAAGAACGCTATAGTCGAGTACCTCGACTGAAAGTACCATGCCTGACAGGTACCCAATGCAACACCCATCAGTAATTCTATCTTAGCAAGATATTTTTCAACAATAGATTTAGAATCAGGTTTTCATCAGATATTAATGAAAGAGTCTGATGTGGAAAAAACATCTTTTTCAATAAATAATGAAAAATACTAATTTTATAGAATGCCATTCGTACTAATAAATGCACCAAGAATTTTACAGAGAGCAATGGCCACATCCTAAGAGAACAATAGGGAAAACATGTCATGTCCACATGGACGACATTATAATATTCTCAAACTCGATTGAACAACAGACTTAACCCAAATTATATAAATATATTATTAAGGGCAAACATGAAAATCTTTTTAGAATAATCCAAGTTTTCTAAACGCGAAACCAGTTTTTTAGGATACATCGTATCTTATAAGGTCATAAGGATAGGCCCAGAAAAAATTGACACCATTATCAAATATCAGCTTCCAAAAAATATTCGGGAATTAAGAAGTTTCTTAGGCCTTACGGGCTATTATAGGTAATTTTTTTTATTTTATTTATTTTTTATTTATTTATTTAGTATTAGCTATTATACATAAATCGCATTTATAATATATTAACTACTTTAAGGAAAGGAGTAACTAGCTACTATGGCCATCGACTCGACAATTGATAACAATTTTGTTACATTTATATTTGTGATTTAACATTTAATGAGAGGGGATATTTGATGATTGATACGAATGTTTAAATTAGGTGTATAATTTTACATAACCGTAGGAAAGATAATAATAGTTTGGAGTTGGCAGCTGTTAGGTCAGTTAATAGATTTGATGGCGGGGTAAGACCGAATAGGTTTGTTCTGATGTTTTGGTAGTGTCCGCAGGTATCTAGTAGATGTTTTACTGATAGTTCTTCTCCGCAATTAGGGCAGTTTAGCCGACTTTCCCCATTAAGGATGTGCTTATGTGTGAGATTTGTGTGTCCGGTTTTTAATCGAGTGAGAATGGCGCATTCCCTTCCGTTGATTGACGTAGGGAACTTGATGTCTTTCTTGTCAGGGTTAAATTGTTTATACCAGTGGTTAAACGACGACCAGTCTTCCAGTTCGATGTCCAGCAAAATGTGTTTGATGTTTTCCCAGATGTCCTGTTGTACTCCAGGTATGATTGTATGGCACGGAGCCCGACCGGCTAATTTTGCAGCATTGTCGGCTAACTCGTTCCCAATGATTCCTATATGAGCCGGGACCCATAACAGTTTAATTTTGCTATTGTTCTTGATGCAGAGGTGACGAATCTCGGATAGAAGGTTATTGTTATTGCAGAAGTTTTGTACTCCTTGCAGGGTGGACAGACTATCACTGCAGATGATATAACTTCCCTTAAGTTCGATAGCAAATTTAATTGCCTTAATAATAGCTACTGCTTCCGCTGTAAAAACTGAGAAGTGGTGAGGTAGCTGACCCCATGAAACAATTAATCCGTGTTGGTCAACCACTGCAAAGGAGGTTGTGGCGTCGGACTTTGAACCATCGGTGTAAAGCCATTTCCTATCGGAGTATTTATGGGTAACTTCTTCGAATAGCTGCTTAAACGTTGTGATTGGAGTCCTTGATTTTTGGAAATCATGAAGTGTAGTGTCTACGGCGGTGGAGTGTAATTTCCACGGAGGGGATGGAATGACTTTGTTCCAACGATAAGGCGACCCTATGTTGTGTCTCTTGATAAAGGTTATACATCTTCGTATCGTAGACTGGACTTTGAATTTCCTACGGTGCTTCGAGGCAACTTCGTAGTCCTTCAGCAAAATAGAGTTGTTTGAGCACATGAGTTTTGGTATTAATTTAAAAGTAGTTTGCGCGACTCTGGTTTTAATGTCCGGCAAACCTGCTTCGGCTAGGATGCATTTAGTTGGGGTCGTTGGGAATGCGCCAATGCTACGCCTGACGGCCGCATGGTAAGGGGGTAGGATTTTTCTTAAGTTCGATGGC